TATATTGTAAATGTGATGGTTTTTAATTTTTATTGTCCGATCTTCGTTCCAGCCTAGCCTATGGGAGCTTATCGGGCCGAGTCGTGACAATGTCAGTGGGGGGATATGAGGCAGCCCATTCGGAGTAGGAAGGAGTTTAATGACTGACTGCTGGAACATTTTTGAACCAACAGAGGAGAGGACTTCTATGAGTAGTTTTTCGCTTCGACACAAGCGCGGAAAGTGGTGAAGTAGCGTGAAAGGTTTGAGTACCTTGCTAGCCAACTGGACCGACTGTCGGAGCCTGTACTAGCAAGAAACTTTATCAAGGGGCTCAAACTAGAGAATCGGACAACAGTTAGAGTGACGAGGCTCATGATTTGGGAGAGGCTATGCATCTAGCCCAATTAGTAGAGGATCAAAAACAGATGAAGAGAGGGGCTAGAGGCAGCAATTCATGAGGTTTGTACGGGATGACCATCACCTTTTTGGCACCCAATGGGATAACACCGAGTATTTCTCGAGAGACCTCAAAGGAGAAAACCGTAGAAGGGGGGAACTGAGAGAAACTTCAAGAAGTTCACTGAGAAGAAGATACAAAAAAGAGGGCGAAAGAGTTGTGCTTCAGTTGTGATGAGAGGTATACCCAGGGGCACAGACGTAAGGATCGAACTCTTCAGGCTCTCATAATTTACAATGATGAGGAAGTTAAGGATGGAAGTGGGAGTGAGGCAGTGATGGAGTAGGAAGAGTTGCATTTAGATGTGGCAGAGGTCTCCTTAAACTTAATGGTGGGATTCACTTCAAATTACATCATGGAAGTGAAATGAGAGATAGCATATAAGGATGTAATGGTGCTAATAGATAGTGGGGCTACCCACAATTTCATCATCAATGAGGTCGTGGGAAAATTGGGGTTGAAGCTAGTGGACACAGAGTGCTACGAGGTGATGACGGGCACAAGGAAAGTGGAGACAGACAGAGGAGTTTTTCGGGGGTGGTTCTGACCATATTGGGGGGTCCAGATGAGGGAGGACTTCCTTCCTTTGAAGTTAGGAAGAACTGATATCATCATGGGGATAAAATGGTTATAGACTTTGGGATACACCAAGGTCAATTGGGAAGCTCTGATGATGGAGATGATGGTGGAGAGAGAGAATGTGGTGATCAAGGAAGATACAGGGTTATCCAAAGCCATGATTTCTCTCAAAACCATAATGAGGATCATAAAGGAGGTGGGGTGAGGATTTCTGGTGGAGTTGTAGAGCTTGAAAAGATTCAGGTTGGAGGAGGGGGGAGACATCTCACTTTTAGTACAACCGCTTATACAGCAATTCAGTGAGCTCTTTCAGTCACTTTTAATGATTGTCACCACTAAGGGAGCAGGAGCATGTCATTACCTTGAGGGAGGGAGTGTTACCGATCAGTGACAGGCCTTACAAATACCCTTAAATCCAAAAGGATGAGATTGAGAAGCTGATCCGGGAGATATCAGAGGCAGGGATCATCAGGCCGAGCATAAGTCCTTTTTCTAGCCCAGTCCTACTGGTCAAGAAAAAGGATGGAAGCTGAAGATTTGGTGTGAACTATCAGACCCTTAATAAAGGATACTATACTAGATAAGTTTTCCATCACCATGATTGGCAAGTTGCTAAATAATTAACGTGAGGCGGTGGTGTTCACAAAGATGGATCTGAAATCCGAGAGTACCATCAGATCAGGATGAGAGTGGAGGATATCCTGAAGACAGCTTTTCGGACACATGAACGATACAAGGAGTGCTTGGTGATGTCGTTTGGTCTCACCAACGCCCCTTCTCCATTCCAGTCCCTTATGAATAGGATGTTCCGACCATACCTCAGGAGATTTGTAATGGTTTCTTTAATGATTTCATAGTGTACAACCGGTCCGACAAGGAGCATTTAGAGTATTTGAGGGTGGTACTAGAGGTATTAAAGGAGCATCAGCTACGAGCCAACCTGAAGAAGTGTTGTTATATATAGCATAGTGTGGAGTACTTGTGGCATGTGGTATCTCAGGAGAGGGTGGCTGTTAATCAAGCCAAGAGGCTATGCTAGAATGGCTGCTACCTAGGACTTTGAAGGAGCTGAACGATTTCCTAGAGTTGACCGAGTACTATAGAAGGTTTGTGAGAAGATACAACATTATAGTTTGGCCAATGATGGAGCAGCTGAAGAATGATAGTTTTCTATGGAGAGAGGCAAGCCTTTGAGAGATTGAAGAAGACCATAACCACAATACAAATTCTGGCCTTACTAGATTTTAACTAGATTTTTGTGGTGGAGACTGATGCATCGAGGTATGGATTAGAGTTGGTGCTTATGCAGAATCACATATCCATAACTTACTTCAGCCAAGTGTTGAAAACCAAAGCGAGATTGAAAGCAGTCTATGAGAGAGAGTTGATAGCCATAGTGTTGGCCATTCAGAAGTGGAAACCTAACTTGCTGGGTCGACGCTTCATTGTCAGGATGGACCAGAGGAGTTTCAAGTACTTGTTAGATTAAAGGATAGTGACCGAAAAGAATCAGATGTGGCAATCGAAGTTGTTAGGATATAAATTCAAGATCCGTCATAGGCCAAGGCTAGAGAACAAGGCGGCTGACACCTTGTCCAGATATATGGGGGAGCTTAAGGTGTTAGTTATTTCGGTACCACTGATGTTTGATTATGGAGCTATTAAGGAGGAAAGTGTGCAGGACGGGGAGCTGAGGGGTATTAAGGCAGATATGTTGAAGCATGAGAGTAGCCACCTTGGTTATTCTCTAGAGGGGTAGAGACTACAGTATTAGGGGAGGTTTGTGTTGCCACAGATCTCGGTCCATATATCTCACCTTTTGCAGTAGTTCCACGAGAGTGTTGTCAAGGTTCATTCGGGGTGCAGAAGACGTACAAAAGGTTGACGGCAGAGTTATATTGGAAGAGGATGGATAAGGATGTGGAGGAGATGGTTACTAGATGTGAGGTATGCTAGAGAAGCAAATATATGGTCATAACTCCAAGGGGGGTTACTATAATCTCTAGCTCTTTCAATAGAGTACGGGAGAAGTTCATCAGGAATTTTATAAATGGGTTACCCAGGTCTGAAGGGTTATAGTAATTTTGGTGGTGGTGGACATATTGAGCAAGTACAGTCATTTTATTCTCCGATGACATCTGTAGACAACAGTGATAGTGGCAACAGTCATCAAATAGGTGGTAAAATTGCATGGGATACTGGAATCTATAGTATCCGAACAAGATAAAGTGTTCCTAAGCTATTTTTAGAAAGAGTTGTTCAGGATGCAGGGGGCAGTATTGAAGAGGAGAACCGCTTAACACCCCCAGATTGACGAGCAGACGAAGGTGGTAAACAAGAGCTTAAAGACTTACATGTGATGTTTTGTTTCGAAGACACATCGACTAAAGGTCAAGTGGATGGCATGGGCAGAGTACTGGTACAACACGTCCTATTATTTGGCTTCATAATAATTCATTTCAAAGTGTTGTACAGGAGGGACCCACCTCACTTGGTGCATTTTAGGCAAAATAACACACCAGTCTCATTGGTGGAGCAATATTTAAAGGAGGATAGGGTGTTGGTGGAATTAAAAAGGCATTTATTGAGGGCTCAGCAAATCACAAAGGACCAAGCAGAAAGTGGCAGGAAGGACCCGCACTTTGAGATAGGTAATCAAATATACTTAAAACATCGTCCCTATAGACAAAGGATGGTAGCTAACAAGAGAAACAAGAAGTTGGCCCTGAGGTACTTTGGTCCTTGTGAGATATTTGAGAGGATTAGAGCAGTGGCTTATCAATTGAAATTCCCCCCAATCGCTATTATATATCTGATGTTCCACGTATCACAGTTGAAAAAAATTAGTGGCGATCAGGCAGCCAGTTCAGAGTTATCCGTGACACTGACTGAAGATTTGGAGAGAGTGTTGGAACCATTGGAGTTGAAAGGGGTACGATAGAAAAAATGACAGATCACGAAAGTGCTAATTCAATGGAAGGACCTACCCAATTATGAAATCACATGGGAGCTGTACGAGAGGATGAAGCAGCAGTTTCCGTCTTTTCACCTTGAAAATAAGGTGGGTCTTTGGGAGAGCGATATTGATAGACCGATCTCTCTTGAACCGACCCTCGTGTACAAGAGGCAAAATAGGGGTTCCGCACAATGACTCATGCCACCCAGAAACATGCCCCCTTTTAGGTGGGGCCTAGGGCAAATTTAGAATGGGAAAGTGGGGGGGGGGGGGGGACGGCTAGGAGGGAAAAGGGAGGGGCTGTTTTAGGATTTTGTTATGGATTATTGTATGCTTTAAGGAGGTTATTTCCTAGGGTTATGGGCATGTCTTGTTTGTTGTCTTTGAAGTTTACCTAGTTGAGAGGGCTCTAGCAGTCAACCAGGGATTTTGGAGAGCATGATCTTCCTCTCCAATTTAAGATCCAATTATATCTTACATTTCTCATCAAAGTTCTTTTAATAAAAATATTTTTGAGCATTCCCCTTCCCAATATTCGTGTTTTCGTTTGCTGATTTTACTGAAAGTGCATCCACTTCCAATTAAAGCTTAGTGGAAAAATACTAAGTTTGTCAAAGAATGAATACAAAGAAGCGTAGCATGAAGAATTAACCATGGATGAAGTACAGTTCCAAGATAGACCAAGCAAGAATAATCATAAGTGTTTTAGTTTGCAAAGTCTGCATAAATTGTAGGTGTAAGAATCAGATAAAATCATAAAGAATGCATCATAACTAACGTGATAATAAATGGAGTGATGTTCAACAATCAGCAAAAAATGATAAAAAAAGGCTGTCAAAGAAGTCAATTGGGATGATAAATGGACAAATGATCATATTATAAACATAGATTACTCCTACGACAGTAACAATCATGCACCCTCTAGACTTGAAACATTTCATGATGATCCAATAATGAAAGGTAATTACAACCAATTGCATGTTGACATTACAAAGAAAAAACTATATATATATATATATAACCAACCAATTCTGTATCATCAATGAATGAATCCTCAGTATCATATTGCTCGTCATCTGGAGCTATAAGTTCTTCCTCATCACTGCTTTCATTGCCCTGGATTCAATAAAAATGGAGCAATTAATTTACTAAACTATAGATTAGAACATAAAATGAAACTCATAGGCCGTGACATGAAAATCGTAAAAATAATATGATAAAGTTTCTTTTGGAAATGATAAACCATATAGATAAGAATATTTTCGAGGGGAAATGGAATCATACCATGTACAATCTTTCAATCTTTTCAATTACAGTGCTAAAGCAATTTGGAGGCTGTAATGTATGTTTAAGATCCTCCCCACCTGGCTGAACCTTCATAAAGAAACTGAGACTAAGATATATATGACTGAGAATTCAAAACAAAGAGATGAACATAAAGCGTAAAGACAAAGAGTACAAACAAGCAAATAATAGATACAATTTGGTAGTAATGTACAAAATAAACAAAACATACATATCCTTGTCAAACAAATTATTACATTAGAAGTCAAAATCCGAAATTGCATTACATGTTCCAAGTCCAGATTGATGGTTATTTTGGACAAAAACTGTTGGTGGTAAGAATGATAGCCAACTTAAAAAATAAGTAATCAGGTGTATCGGCCGAATTATTGGATGCCATCCTCAGTAAGATCAAACAAGTTTATTGGTTATTCTACTACCATTAGACTAGAAATAATTAATATTAGGCGGAACATGATCAGTTGGGAGTATTATCATATTAGCACATCTATTCCTGAAGACTATGCCTGAGCAAGAATTACTAATCTCATACAGCTATCACAATACAACTACAATATATTTCGAATCAATTATCAAGTAGTTGGTAGCAAGCAGTGATGAACATTGTCATTACTCAAATAAAGTTTCTCATACATGATACAATCCCTTTTAATAATCTAAAGCCCTTCCTAGGGCTTCTTCTATAAGTAACATGTCACCAAGCCTTGCTTTAAAAAAAAATAAAGTAAAAAATAAATGTCATTATAACAAACTCTTGATTCTGTGACAAACATATGCATAGCTCTATTTTATAAATAAATTTGGTTAGGACTGTGCAAAGCATAATCATGGTCACTCACAACTATAGTAAACCTTTTGGCTTTAAGCTACAAGCATTAGTGATACCTTTTTTTCTACTTTTTTGTCAAAAAATAGATAGACGAGTTGGAACTTGGAAAAACGAAGGCTTAGTATAGCAAAACCTATTGGATAATAAGTAAACTCAAAACTAATGTTGAAGTTTTTCCTGTGCAAAGCAGATCATTTGATATGCTATAAAAATAATTCTCAAGCATCTATCTTCTATTTTGTGTCAAACTAACATCACGGAAGATCCTGTAAGGCTCAACGAAAATAGAATTAGTTCCATAGTATTGTTGTGCTTCATCAATGCTTAGCATTGCGCTCCTTCGATTTTTTAATTATTGTTATTAAAATTTTCCAGACAATTGCCATTCTAATTCAAGTCTCCTGGCAATCACCAATTTGACCCAAACTATGAACAATTTAAATAATAATTACCTGAGAAGAAACTTTGACAAATAAAGCCTGGTAGAACTTTCCCAAAATGTAAAACAGCAAAAGGGTCTATTTGGTTGCTTGTTGAGCGCTTTGATGCACTAGCCGCCACTCTTCTCACCCTGGTGTCTCCTCACCCTCTCTCTTCTGGCCTTGTCGGAGGCCTCTTCTTCACTTTTTTCCCCTTCCATGAAATCCCCGCCACCCACAAACCAACTAGCTCAATCAAGCCCCTTCAAGAATCATGTACCCGTTTCTCTGCATAAGATGCTCATCTGTCTGGTTCTATACTCCAGTAAGACTTCTCGCCACTCTCCTCTTCCTCTCCCCTAGGAAATGCTCTCCCCCGGCCATCACTGTCACTCCACCGCAAACCCAATAAAAACCTAAACTGGAAATCCCTGCTTGATAACAGAAAAATCTCTGCCAAATAGTTTCCTGTGAACTTCATCCCCTGCAAGACAAAGTTGTCTCCTTTGCTAAGGAAGTCAGCCAAGGTTCCAAAGAATGAGAACTTTAACTGGTCGAAAACTCCATTGGAAAAAGATCCTTCTATAAAGCCTTGTTGTCAGCAATAAAAAAAATCCAAGCTGCTTAAAGTTACTCCGGATCTTCTATCTCTAAATGATGTTTTTTTTTGCTCAAATTTTCCTTTACGAAAGATTATGAAATGGTATGGACGGGAGTACCTTAGTTTTTCATTGAGAAACCATTCGTTTTTCAAAAATGGGTTCTAGAATTTAAACCTAAAAGGAAGAATTTAACTTCTATAATGATCTAGATCAAAATCTATTATCTCCCTAATCATGTTGTAACCCTATCAACATCTCCAAATAGTCAGTGTGGCAGCTACTACACTAACCGTTGACCCCCTTACTGCTGCTAAAACTTGCCTCACATTCATTAGAGGTTGTGTCTAGGTCGAAGATGGGGCCATCTTACTCGATGATGATGTCATCTTTGTGGGGGCAGTTGAACAAAACCTTCACATCATTTATGATTGGAAACTTGAAGCTTGTAAAGACTGTGGTTGTTTTGTCCATCCTTCAAACCTACGCCCAACTAAGCCAAATGACTACATAAAACCCGACTTCCTCCTAACAAGACGGACCCTTAGCAGAAAGCCCAAACACCACACTATCAGTTTAAGCAGTTGCCTCTACACCCATCAACCCAGATGAGAAACAACATGACCCTCCACCTAACAAAACCTCCTCCCCAAAGCACTCATAAACTACTCTAATGATATCCTAACAACTTCTAAGCCGGCACAGCCCCCAAAAGACCAAAACCTGAATCAAAATCCAAATGTTTCTACTCTTCAAAAGCTCCATGTAACCTCCTTGCAAAATAAATTTGCAGCCTTCGATAATATTGAAGTCTCTTAATTAACTCCCCAATCTTCCATATCAGAATAGCCCCAAGAAGCTATCCTACAGTAATCTTACTTTCTTTCTGGTACATCCAAATCAAAAGCCCAACTTAAGGCCAAGAATCTGGCCTCCAACTCCACAAAACTTTAATGGCATTACTGTACTTTATCCCTTGGAATGTGAGAAGCTTCAATGGGATGGATCGTGTCACAACTGTAAGAATATAATTCAGTTCTGCAATCTCGACCTTTTATGCATTCTAGAAGCAAAAGTTTCTATCCCTCAGATGTTGAATTTTTGGTTTAATGCATCTCATAGTTTTTGGAAAATGAAGGAAGCCATCACAATTTTTTTCACTCAAAATCCAATAGAATTTGGTTCAAATGGAATGCTAATATGGACTCTTTTAATCCTCTCCACATCTCTAGCCAAGTTATACAAGGAGATGTCTCATATGGAAACAATAAAAATCGATAACCCCATATACTACAAAATCGATAACCCCAGATATTCAGATCACAAACCTCTCGTTCTTTTCACCCACCAACCCACTAAAAACAAGCACATATACCAATTCAAAAATTACTAGCTCAAATTCCTCTCCTTTTGGGATCTTCTAAGAACCATCTTTACACACCATTATAAAGGAGACCCTATCACCTTCTTATATGCCAAGCTTCAACAATTCAAAACAATTATCAAGGCCTCTGAGTGGTCATCTTCCATACACCTCCACTCCATTGCAAATATGGAAAGAGAGCAAAGAACCTACCATAATATGCTTAACGGTGACCCTCTAAACCCTGCTCTGAATGCTAAAGCTTCTAGCATCATGAGATTCTATCTAATTCCTATTCTGCTTGGGCCACCTAGATATCTCAGAGGGCAAAAGCAAAGTGGCTCGAAAAGGTGAGGATGTCCTCAAATTTTAGAATAATGGAAGAAATAATTACAACTGTACTAGAGAACTTATCAGCCTTATGGGGCTAAATAATAATTTCTACTGACAATATTCTTTTAGCTAAAGAGATTCTTAATGATCAAATGAAACAAAAAAGAGGTTTTCTTTTGTGCTATGCTTGATATTTACATAGCATTTGAGACAATGTCAAAAGATTTCTTCAGAAGGAGACAAAAAGGTTTTTCTCGATTGTTTATTGATTGGGTCAAAGCTTGTATTGACAATGTATATTTTTCATGTGCATTTACGGTAATCTTGAGGGCTCTTCAACTCTACTTCTAGCCTTCGATAAGGGTGTTCGCTATACCTCTATCTTTTCCGTATTATTATGGATGAGCTATCTAACCTTTTTGAAATAGTTACATCTCTCAAAATTACGTTGGTATCATTATGGGTGATCTCCATCTCTCACATATGCTAACAACTTTTTAGTTTTTGGGAAAGAGGACCCCCAAAATATTCTAAGCTTGGAAAGAATCTTTAGACACTTCAAAGATTTATTTAGGCTCTCTTCCAACCCCATTGATGGCACCAGCACATTCTCTAAGAACTTCCAAGACTAGCAACACTTCTCCAAATTTCTCAACATTAATAACTCTAATAAAGTCATCTCTTATCTGGGCATCCCTATCTGTATCCAAAGACTTCTCAGCATTGATTTCAACCACCTCATGAGAAAAGTTGCAATGCTATTAGACAGCTAAAAGCCAAAACCCTTTCCTTTGATGTCAGGTTACAATTTCTTAAATTTACCATCTCTAATACGATGGCATATTGCATTCGGGGTGCAATCAACCCTAAGAGCTGCTGCAAACTTATCTCCAAACTTTGTTCTAGGTCCTTTTATCATGGTAATATCAATGCTAAAAGTTTGCATTTAGTTTCTTGATCATGGTCAAATATATTCAAGCCAAAGAATCTTGGAGGTATGGGTTTACCTTCTATCCCTTCTCTAATTTTGCCTTTAATTGTTCATTTGTTCTCTTGTTTGGTATTGTTTAAACTCCAATAACCCATTGGCCAAATGGTGGCTTCAAAAATATGGTAGCTTCTGTCATCTACTAAGGGATCTATCCGGAAAGTATCTCTAAAGTTGCTACTGTTATGAAACCAAATATTACCTATAAAGTTTATGATGGTGCAATGATCTCTATGATTTGGGATCCTTGGCGTGCTAGGAAAAATCTAATAGAAATCCTTTATGATGAAATCGTACCCCTCAATGCAACCCTGGGAGGCTCTCTTTCTGTTCTCATTCCAAATAGTGATTGGGTAAACCTGGATATCTTCCATGTGCAAGTGACTAATCTGATTAAGGATATCAATATACATGCTGATTGAATCTGACAACATTTCTTTAGCACGGTTTATCTAAACCTAAGTTCAAAAACTTTATTTCTATTTTTTTTGCTGATTATCATGGTGGAAATATGTTAGGCACAAGTATCATG